TCCTGCCCTCTGCCGCCCGCGCGCCCCGCCGCGTCTTCGGGCGCCGCTCGGGCTCCCTCCGGGCTCTGCGGTCAAAGAGTCTCCGAGCGCAACTTTCTCGCGCCCTCGCTTGGGGGGGATGGGGGGCTGGATCGCTCGGCGCTCCGGGGGCGCGGGGCTGCGTGTTCAGGGCGCGGGGCGCCGCGGGCTCATTGTGCGCCGGCGAGGCCGCTGCCGGCGCTCCTCCTGCTCCCGGCGCTCGGTCTAGGAGGAAGAAAGCAAACAAGAAAGAGGAGTGAAGCCCCCATACATACATGCACCGGATGGGAAATGTCAGCTCTGTTCCACCTTGTAGCAGTCACAGATCAATCGGTGGCACGCCGCCGCGCAGCGCGACTTTCTGCTTGCCCGTCCCGGGGGCTTTGCCCCAGCTCGCCGCCGCTTCCGATACTAAACATCATGAGAACACATAGCGAGCGTGGATGTTTGTCCAGTCTTGATCGTCCGCGGAAAATGTTTTTAAAATTCACAAAAATCCTCCCCTTGGGGGGGGGGGGGGGAACACACCAAAAAACCACCAACGACAACAACCCGGAGAGTGTGCGCGAAGGGGGCGCAGAGCAGACACGCACTGGGTGGGCGCGAGGCGCGTGGACGGTCCCCCCAAACTCCTGGGAGAAGAGAGATGCACTCCGCTCTCCTTGTTCAGTGAAATATAACACACATTCGGATCGCAGAGCTTTCAGACAGTCTCAACTGATAGACAGACACATCGAGCTGCCTCTCGGTCCTTACTCCTCCTCCCTACCAACGTCACCCTGACAATTACAAATAGGTCTCACACAAGCCATACCTGTCAATCTTTTTAATTGCTTTGTTTTCTTTTTTTCTTTTTTTTTTTTTTTTTCCGGGGCTAAACAATATGACAAAAATGAGAAATCTTAATACAGCATAATGTAAGGATTTCGCATTTGAGGAAGACGTGGAGGGGTTTGTTATTGTAATTCACTGGCGGGTACTGGGTGGAACCCATCCATGTGTGATAAACCAAGTTTAGAGACCAGTGCCTACAGATTTTTAAACCTCTACGTGTTCTGATTGTACCTTCATACACATGCATCCACGTGCGCCCAAAGCACCCGCGGAGTCCTACACTGGAGGTAGAAATATCTGTGGTACCCTGGAAATCCTAATTTAGGGATAGATTTCGGTGGGGGTGGGGCGCTGGTTGGCTTTTGTATTTTGGTTAACTCATGTGTGAGTGGAAAACAACAGTTGGTGGTTGTGGGGGGCTGTGTTTTTAAAAATTATTACTATTAAAATAAACATCTTTAATAACAATTTAAATCTATACTTGGTTCATCACAGAAAAACGTGGGAAATATTTCGCTCAGTCCCCGCTATGAAAAGCGAATTGATGATCTAATCAAGGCACACAATTGGGGCGAAAACTGACGCCTCGGAACAGCGGATCTCTCTGGCCGGGTTACAAAATAAGGTCTTCATCTGGAATTGCTGGGTCTTGAGTTAACTCCTGGACAACACCACGTAGAAGTTTTCAATGTTTGCGTGCTTTGGGAATTTGGCCCGCTACCTTCCAATGTGTGCTTACTTTCCCAGTGGGGAGCCTCGAACAGTCGTGTAGAGGAAAGCAAGAAATCTAGGCCAAATAAATAAAATGGCTTAGTTCATGGAACTTGAATGGGACAGACAAGGGTGGCTGGCAGGGCAAGGAGGGTCGGAGGCGAGGACCCAGCCTGGGGGAGTGGGGTGCGCCCAACCCACTCTGGGGACGCGGATTCCCTGGGCCGCCCGGCCCGGGGCGCTCCTCCCGGCCGTGCCCCGCCGCCCCGGCCGCGCTCGGGGTTGATTCGTACCACCTTGCAAGGAAGTGCGCGCTTCGCACGGGAAGGGGAGGTGCCTGAGCCGGCCGCCGAGACCGCGCCGCAGCGGGCCAGGCTGCGGAGCTGCGAGCGGCGGGCGCCGAGCGGCGTCCCCTCGCTTTCTCACCCCCCCCTACCCCCCCGCCCGCCTGCCTCGGAGAAGTCAAATCCGGCTTTTGGACGCGGCGAGGGTGGGGGTATCCGGTGCCGGTGCGGCGCCGGGAGGAAGGGGGAGGGCGGAGAGGCTCCCGGCCAGTCTGCGCCGAGCAGATTCAAAACAAAACAGGGAGATTAAAGGAGCCGCGGCGGCCGCCCCGCCCCACACTAGCCCGCACCAGCCCGCCCCGCGCCCCACGGCCCGGTTGCGCCAGCAGGCACCGTGCGGGCCATGCGCGCGCTGCGGACCATCGTGGACATGTCGTACGCCCGCCACTTCCTGGACTTCCAGGGCTCCGCCATCCCCAAAACCATGCAGAAGCTGGTGGTGACCCGGCTGAGCCCCAACTTCCGCGAGGCGGTCACCCTGCGCCGGGACTGCGCGGTGCCTCTCCCCGGGGACGGAGACCTCCTCGTCCGAAACCGGTGAGCTCCGCGCCCCCCGGCCCGCGCTCGAGCACCGCCGCCTCGGCCGCTCGCGGGAAGTTCGCCCGCCGCCATCTGGCGAGCGCGATTGCGGGTTCCTAAGCGGTGGCGCATCCCGATGTCGCTGAGCGGCCTCCTCACAGAGGCTGATTTAAATTTGGGATTCCCCTCCCCTCCCCCATCCCGCCTCCTCCCCCTCACGCCCTAAATAAAACCGCTGCGACCCAGAAGGAAGGCTCCCCTCGTGGCCCACCCGCACCCACGGCCACCGCGCGTGCGGCAACGCTTTCAGGGAAGGAGAAGCCACCCGCACCACCCGGAGACTTTGGGGAGCGCGCTAGCGAGCGAGGAAGCGGGGCAGCTAGGGCGGCGCCTACTGCCCGCCAAGGTGGGCGGCCGCTGTATAGTGGCGGTGCCAGTGGTTGGGTGTGTTCTGTGCACCTCGCCGGCGTTGTCTGAGTGTTGTCAGTGCTGGGTGATTGTTGTCTGTCCCTCGGAGGGAATCGACAGCGCGCGGCGTGTGTCGGGGCAGCTGGGCCGGGGTGGGAGCGAGGCGCATTTGCCTACAGGTTTTGCAAACACCCGTGTGACCCTCGGGTCTTCACCCTTCACAGACCGACCCTCGCCCCCACCCCACCTCAGGGTGTTCCCACGTGACTCAGCTCTGGTAGCCAGTGAAGCAACCGGAAGGAGAGGCCCTTCGCCGGCCAGAGCCCTGCTCCGAGCCGGGTCTTCGCTCCTAGGTCCCCAGACCTCCCCACTCATCGCCCGACTGCTAGGCGAGGGCTCCTCCTGTCCCTTAGAAAGAGCAGTGCTTTCCAGACTGCGGAACTCCGAATGGTTCGTCAGGCTTTGCATATCTCGGGACGAATACTGTTACTGAAGGGAGGAGTCAGTTGCGGTTATAATGACGGTGTAAATGTGTGCCAGAGATTACTGCGAAGTTCATTTCAACCTCTGAAAGGACGAAATGCGCCCTGCCCAAGAAAGGAGTTTAAGGCCACTTTTCCTCGGTTCTCTTTTAGAGATTTCCCATAAGACTGTAAGATCGAAGGGCTCTACAACTTGGGGGAAATGTTGGGAACGTGATGATAGAGTGAACCAGGATGGGGACGCCCTAGTGAAGCCTGGGGGTGCCTTAAAGGGTGGGGCTGGAGGTGTTTCTACTCCAGAAAGTTTGCGTCGCAGCAGAGGACTTCTTCTGTAAAAGCTGTCAGGACAGAACACGCTGCTCCTTCCAGGTTATGAAGAAGGCTTGGGTGTGTGCATACACGCACAAAACACAAAACGCACTCTAGAAGTGAAGGTGGAACCCATATCAAAAGCCTCCTAACTTACACAGGCGAAAGTGTGTCCTTCCCTCTTTACGATTAGGGCTACCCCTTGACTGTAGACCCGAATACTCAAACTCACGCACGCACAACTGCTTGAGTAAAATCCCTTTTAGAAATGGGGCGTGAAGGGAGGAGTGACTGCGATGGAACACGCAGAGAAAGACGACAAGCCACAAGCCACGGCCGGGTGGAAGTACCTGCCTGCTGTAGCTGCTCCTGCCGGTTGCGCGTGCTCTCCCGGGCCTCTCTCCCTGCGAATGTTCCTCACCTTGGGTAGCTTTCCTTTCTCTGTTCCGCACACTTCACAATTAAGGTCGCCCTCCGCCCCTCCTGCCGCCTTCCCAGAGGGTTGCTCCCAGGCGACTTTGGGGCTCAGGCTCTCTGTGAGCCCTGGGCCATCAGATTGGGTCCAAAGGCGCGCGCTGCTTGGATCCCTGAATTCGGTGTTGAGGGCGCAGAGCGCTGGCTCTCAGGTTTGGAGAGCTCCAGTTGAAGTGTCTTTAGATCCTTGCCTCTTTCCCCCTCCTCGCATACCGGGAATCCCTTTAATATAAATAGTATGAAACCTATAACTACAGACTTGAAATCTACAGCTGAGGAGAATGACCAGTTTTCTGTGTGTTGGGAAGGAAGACTCATTGTCTCGCCCTTTCTCAATGCTGTTGGAAAATCTCGTTCTGCCCCCAAACTGTAAACAGATCTTGATCCTTGCAAATAGGTGTTCATGGAGGTAGCATTTTACAGATTTTTATAAAGAATGGAGATTTAGTAATTCACTGCATTCAGGTTAGTAGCTGATGGTGATCTAGACCAAATCACCCCAGAACGGTGTTAATTGCACTGAAATGTTGTACACACACTCCTCATTTTGATTATTCCAAACTCAATTTGGAATGAAAGCATTGAGCCCCCCACTTCACATGTTTGGAGGGTTTCTTTGCACTCCGCCGGACTTTTGCTTGCAATGGAATATTTGCCCAGGTCCCATCAGAGTAAAAAATACAAGTCCTTTACTCAGAGGAAGGTAAATGCTTTTGAGCTAGTCATGGAGTTAGGAGACTGAAGTGTACTGTTTTCAGAAAGTGTGAAAAGGGACAGATAAAAGCCTTCTTATGCGTGTCCTACCTTGTTTGCTGCTGGGGGGGGGGAGACAACTTCACAGAGGTACCCCCCTCCCGCCCAGTCCACCGAGAAGGAAAAGAAAGAGCGAGAGACGCCAATTTAAGTCCGTTTCCGTGCGATTTCCAGCCTTTTTCTGTAAGCGGGTGGCGGAGTATTTCGTTTCCAAAGATTTCTGACGACTTTCTGCGCCCCTGTAGGATAGTGGAGCCGAGAGTTTGGAGGAATGGCGGGGAGGGCGTTTTGATGAACGGTTTGTTGCTCGCGGGCGGGTAACAATATTTCTGCTGATTCTCTAGGCCGGCTTTTTGTCTTTCTTTCTTTTTGGTGAGGAAGGTCTACTTTACGTTTTGTTTCCCGATATTGCTTTTGCTCTGGGCTGGAGCGTTCGCATTTGGTTTTTGTTCAAAGGACAGCCCCCGTCTCCCTCTCCCCCCCCTTGCAGTATTGCCCTGTTTTCACAGTAAACATGACGAAGGGCCTCCGCACTTTTTAGTATAAATAAACCCGGAGACTCGGGCAGGGTGTGGGTTGGGGGAAAGCCCACCACGGCGGCCCCATTCTTTTTCCTGGGGTTCCTGAATTTTGGTTTTTAATGGGATCCTCCTGTCGGCTTGCTAGAATCCTGTACTTATTTAAAGCACGCGTTTTAAACTAACCGGGGTATAGGGAACCCCGAAAACACAAGCCCTTCCTGGTGTGTATTCCCTGTTAATTTTGCACGCCCCGCCGGGCCCCCCTTTACTTTGGAGCCCGCTGCTGTTGAACTTGATTCTGCTGTTGCCGGTGGCGCGAGCTCTTGACCTCCTGCGTGCAGCTTCGTCCCAACGTCCAGGTAAGAACCGAGTCGCCTCCTGCCGCCGCGGCTGCGCATTGTCACCAGCGGGAACGGGGTGGCGGGGACCTGCACTGGGGCCAGGCGACCCGGGAAAGGTGAGGTGCGCGGAGCAGAGCTTCCTTCACCTACGACCGTGTGACTTAGAAGATGGCTGGGCGGAGGGTGGTAAGAAAAGGGGGAAACGAGGCCAAAGTCGCTCTGGGCTCCAGGAACTTGCCAGCCCCCAGTGACTCGCCGGCGGCTCGGGGACCTGCCCGCCAGGAGGCCGATATCATGGTCCCGGCCCCTCCGCAGACTCAGTCCGCTGCGACCTGATACTTCCGAGGGGACGGGTCTCCAGAGCGCGGGGGAAGAGGTGGCGACCCCGCGGGGACTGCTTGGACCCAGCCGCCCCCTCCCTCCCGCCGCCCCGTGCTGGTCGCCTTGGGTTTTTAAGCAGAGCTGGTGGCAAGTTCGCTAAGCCGCCCAAGCCTTTGCCTTGTGTCCCTGCGTGCGTCCACAGCCTGCCCTTCTGCGGGGCGCGCTCCCTGCCAGCTTCTCGGAAGTGGGGCCCCTCTGTCAGCTTCTCTCGGGCAGGAGACCCTCGCGCTTTTCCCCTGCGGAGTTTTCTTGTATGGAGCCACCCAGGGTGCAGCCCCCAGCGATGGGGAAGCACTTGAGGGCCTCCTTGGCCAAGGGCTAGTTACCGCTGGAGCCCAGGGGGCTCCCTCAGCCAGGAACGGGCGCTCCAACTCTGACTGCAGAGCTGCGGTGGTGGGGGAGCTGGGGAGAGAGGCTAAGGGTAGCTTGGGGAAGGCAACCGAGATAGAGGTGATGGCGGCCAGGCCCACTCCCCACCTCCAAAACCACAGGCTGTTGTCACTTGCATGCCCACGCCAGACTTTCCTGGGGCCTGCTTCACAACCATTAGCACAAGTGCCCTTAAGCCCTCCAGCTAGGCTGCCTCTGCCCCCACACACCCCTGTGAAGCCCAGGAAGAGGCCCTTTTCCTAATGATCCAGGCCTGGGGAAGGTTGTCAGTGCAAAGGAGAGGGAGCTGGGTTTCCTGTTCCCTAAAACTAGGTTGGAGACATCCTGATATTAACATGCCAGCAGACATCACTTAGATCCCTCAGTATCATGTATAAATGTGGAATTCTGGGGCATCAGATTGAGACTGTCCTGTGACTTCTGCAAACAGCTGGACTTGGCAAGGATTGCTGTCTGCTCTCTCCTTTCTACAAGACACAGAACTTCCCACGTATGTGGGAAAGCACCGTAACAAAGAGTGCAGAAGTGGCCCCTAGGATCTGTATGGCTGATAGTGTGTCCCTCCTGTACAGGGCACATACCGTTTATTAGGACATGTTACATTACAAGAGAATGCTTTTCAGATGTCTTGCTTACTAGCATCAAGTTACAGGTGGAAATGGCATTGTTCGGGTGTTCCATTCTGTGGCTGAGCCACTCCTGACATTCTTAGCAGGTTATATTTTCCCTTATGCCGTAGGGTTCCTCTTTCATTGTGGGGTACACAAAGATGAAGAAAGACTGGTGAAAATGCTGGTCTTCACAGTTAAACCGAATCTGGATATCAGCATGCCAATAAATCATCTGGTATCAATCAACTTACCGTAGCTCAGCTTTTGGCTGAGGAAAAATATAAAGGGGTGATTTGCTTTTCTTTTCATCTGAAAAAAAAAGGACTGTACGGTGTTGAATGTTCCCTAAAAATCTCTCTGCCCTTATGAGACAAGTTTTGGGTTAGATGCACCAAAATGCACATTTTCACACCAGACAGACACCCTGACATCAGAAAGACAATGTGATGCAGCCTGACCATCAGTGCTGTAAAGAACCCCTTCAGGAGCTTGGAACAACTGATGACCTTGTCCAGTACATCCATCTTTAATAGTATCCTTGTCATTACTATTATTATCCGACGTGTTAAATTGTTGCCAGAATCGATACAAGTCTACTTCTTTGAATATATTTTATCCTGGTGTTGTTTTTAACATCTTTGTTAAGAGACCAATTAATTTCCAACCCATTGCCCCAGTGAAGTTTGTATATAATGAGGACTTCCTAATTTTTTTTTTCTCTTTTTCCTTGCTTTTCCTTTTGCACAAAAAAAGGAGGAATAAATGATACAGGAACTAAAGAACGTAAAGTTTACAGTGACAGGGAATTAATCCTAAACTGATGAAACAATTCAATATGCCGAAAATAGTAAAGCATGCCAAAACTGATTGCAAATCATTGGTGAACTAATACTTGGTTAATGTCTTCGTTTGAGTGAACAGCAGGAATCATTTCTTGAATTCTGTTAGAATGTAGTGCGTAGCAGCAGGCCATCCTCAATAGCTAGAATGTCTAAGTGGCAGAAGAAACATCTTAATGTATCTCTTGTTTGTTCTCTCTTAGATTTGTGGGTGTTAATGCCTCGGATATCAACTACTCTGCTGGCAGATATAACCCTTCTATGAGGGTCCCCTTCGATGCAGGTTTTGAAGGCATCGGTGAGGTGGTGGCCTTGGGCCTCTCTGCTAGTGCCAGCTATACAGTGGGCCAAGCTGTGGCTTACATGGCACCTGGCTCTTTTGCTGAGTATACAGTTGTACCAGCCAACATTGCAATCCCAGTGCCTTCAGTGAAACCTGAGTACCTCACCCTGCTGGTAAGTGGCACTACTGCACACATCAGCCTGGCCGAGCTTGGAGAGTTGTCAGAAGGGAAAAAAGTTTTGGTGACGGCTGCAGCAGGGGGGACAGGACAGTTTGCTGTACAACTTTCAAAAAGGGCGAAATGCCACGTCATTGGAACCTGCTCCTCTGATGAAAAGTCTGTCTTCCTGAAGTCCATTGGCTGCGATCGTCCCATCAACTACAAAACGGAGGACGTGGCTTCGGTCCTCAAGCAGGAGTACCCCGAAGGTGTGGACGTGGTCTACGAGTCTGTGGGGGGCTCCCTGTTTGACTTGGCGGTAGATGCATTGGCCACCAAAGGTCGTTTGATCGTAATTGGGTTTATCTCTGGCTACCAAACTCCTACTGGCCTTTCGCCTGTTAAAGCAGGAACATTGCCAGCCAAACTGCTAAAAAAATCTGCCAGCATCCAGGGTTTCTTCCTGAACCATTACCTTTCTAAATATCAGGCAGCCTTAGACCATTTGCTCAAAATGTGCGAACACGGGGAACTGGTATGTGAAGTGGACCTCGGAGCCTATTCTCCCAGGGGCACGTTTACTGGCTTGGAGTCTGTATTCCGGGCTGTCGAGTATATGTACATGAGGAAAAACACTGGGAAAATTGTCGTTGAATTATCTCACACTGTCAGCAGTAAACTGTAAAAATAGAATGATATCAATCAAGAGAGAATGAAAATGGATACTTTCTGCCTTAATGTTGGTAATGGATATAATATTTCTTAATACAAAAATAAGGTGTTAACGAATCATGAATTCTCTTTTTTTGTCAGTCCCTCATTTGGAAAAAAAAAAAAAAAAAAAGGTACTAATGAAACTTTCTTGGATGGCTGAGAAGTAAAGCACGCACATTCAGTTCTTTAGTCCTGGGCAGTCCTGTTCCAGGGACTAAATTCATTCCTGATGCAAGTGCTAATCTTGTCAGTATGATTTAAAATTTGGTCTTGAGAACACCTCACAGATTCTTCTTTGCTTTGGGGTAGTTTTACAGTAGTTCATACACACTTTGCTTTGGGATAGCTTGGTCTTACAGTAGTTCATACACACTTTGCTTTGGGATAG